ATACATATATATATATATATATATATATATATATATACATATATATATATGTATATATATAGATATATATATATATATATATATATAGATATATATATATATATATATATATGTTTATATAAACACACACACACACACACACACACACACACACACACACACACACACACACATATATATATATATATATATTATACGGGCGTGTTCGGGAACTGAAGTAAGTAGATATACCTGTTAGGTCCATAATTGACGTCCATGGTTATCTGATAACTTCAATATTATTGCCTGATGTCATAGACGTACTTAGTTCTGATTGCGAAGACAGTACGCCTTAACTAAGCGTTAGTGACAAAGTCGTTCAAGATTGAATGGATTCAAATCGCACATAGGAATGTGATCCACCACATTTTATGCCACACGCAGCATGACAAGCACTCGTCTCTATAATGTTGTTCTGTACTGTTTCGTAATGTGTCTTGACTTGACTATATACAGTGGTATGTCTCCTTCCACAAAGCGTGCATATAGTTGAAACTAAAAGCAGTACATAAATACATATTGAAATATTTACATACATATAAATATATAAATAAATAATGAGCGATTGAACTGGTTCATACGGATTGGTGGGGAACTGAAAGGATTGCCGCGCAAATAACGAACCTATTTTGTAATTGGTGCTTTAAAAGCCAAAAACCCAACCCAAACCGATGTACTCTTTCAGTCTACTGCCCAATGCCTGAAGCGCTATTGTGCAAAACGTATTGGCAATTGGAGCACAGACCAATTTTAAGCTATTTTACAGTCAATATAATCTAATTTTTCATAACATTATTAGCTGTCATTACTATATTACACAAATAATAATATATATATCGTATCCCATTGGATTACAAACAGATCTGAACAAGCGGGTACATATTCTACTGCACCATGAATGATAACACGTGTTGTGTGTGGCTATTTGCATATGTATTGTACAGACCAATGCAATATCATTAATATCTAGTTCTATTATTAGATTGACAGCACACCACATATGTCGTCGTGTCGCCGCTTTTTTTTGTGTGTGTGGGTTTTCGTATATACTGACTTGTGTTGAACAAACAAGGTGTAGTTGTGCTAAAAGCTTATTTGCTGCCACTATTTGCGTAAAGTGTGTTCTGTTTACGTAGAACGACTCAGGTGCTTAGGACGAGCACAGCCGCGTTAGCTCTCATTCAGACAGTAGCCCATTCACACAGTACACAAACACCCAACACAGCAAAATGGTCAGAACCAAGAAAACGGCGAGACGCAGAGCGGTAGTGAAAGAAGATGCACCCACCAGCGCAAAGGATGCAAATGCCGCAGATAATAGGGATGAAGTAGTAGCCACAGAGTCGAAGATAGCGTCGAATGGTGTATCACAAGTTGGTGTACAAGCCCCTACAGAAATTGATCCGAGCGATGCGGTTGAGGCCACTGGGGAGGGCCATGCTGCTGAAATGAACACAGCTACAGTAGATGGCGTCAACGAGAATCCTGTGAAGAAGAGGGGAAAGAAGTCTGCAGCTGACAAGCTTGTGGAGGGCAGCCAAGGTAACCAAGGTATCCATAGCAACACAACAGTGGAACAGCTGCTGGCAAACGCGCCCGAAGGAGCCGCGGTATCTGGTGAAACGGCCGTTAATGAACTGGTGAAGGGGAGTGAGGGTGAGGGTTTGGTAGGTAATAGTGCGAATAGCAAGTCACAGATCACCAAGGGGGCTAAGAAAACGGAGGAACCCAAAACCCAACCGAAGAATGTCAGCAAGAATACGATGGCTGCTGAGGCCCAGATTAAGATTCCCAAGAAGGCCAATGCTCATGCCAGCAAGGCTGAGAAAGCCAAGGCTCGGAAGGAGGCGGCTATTCAACGCAAGAATGGGGGTATAGATGGATCTGAACTCAAACTGCTACTGGATGAACACGACTACCAGGCAGTGTTGACTGCGTTGAAAGCTAAACACAATTGGGGAGCTATGGCTGTTGATGAATTTGTAAGTTGATTGTATGTTTTAGATTTGTTTATAGATAGAGTAGTTTATGCACACACACCTAAACAAAAGCACATACACACGTACACACACACACACACATATATATATATCTATTATACATGTATATATACATATATATTCATATATATATATATGTATATATATATATTTATATTATACATATACATGTATATATTCATGTTTATATTCATACAATACTTACTTTTACGTATATATTTGTATTTACTATATATATATATAGATATATATCTGTGTCTGTGTCTGTGTGAGCGAGAAATGAGTGTGTGTGTGTATGTACTGTTCACACCTGCATCTTCATAGTTCAGCATATATATGCATGTATATACATATAGTTTGCAACTGCCTACCGATTCCAGGGCTGTAGCGTGTTCTTCCATCTCCCGTTGTCTGAAGTACAACACCTAAACATGTTTATATAAAATCGTTTTGTTTTTTTAGTTTCGCAGTTGTGTGTCATCTTCAATGTCAGCTTTGATATATCATGCTACGAATAATAAGTCGGGTATAGATATAGTACTTCTCTGTTAACGCCTCAAGAACATCTCATACACTCTCCGTACGCAGGCGCGCTCATTGCCGTACAAACGGACTGTGACTGTGTACAACGCAGACGTGCACATTGGAGGCAAAACGTACCACGGTCACTTCTACTCAAATGCAGCTCAGGCACGTCGAGAGGCATGCAAGTATGTGGTACTGGGCATTCGGTGTACGGAGATATGTGTATATGTGAATGAGTGTACGGAGATATGTGTATGTGTGAATGAGTGTACGGAGATATGTGTATGTGTGAATGAGTGTACGTTTGTATACGTGTGAATGAGTGTACGTATGTATATGTGTGAATTAGTGTACGTATGTATATGTGTGAATGAGTGTACGTATGTATATGTGGGAATGAGTGTACGTATGTATACATGTGAATGATTGTATGTATGTGTATGTGTGAATGAGTGTACGTATGTATATGTGTACATGAGTGTACGTATGTATATGTGTGAATGAGTGTGCGTGTAAGTCCATTTGATGTATGGTGATATGTATATTTAAGAATGAGTGTGTATTTAAAAATGAGTGTGTATGAGGATGTGTAGATATTTGACTGAGTGTGTATAAAGACATTTGTATATGCGTACAACTGTTGTGACTGTGTGCAACGCAAACGTGCACGTGTAGGAAGGTATAATGTATACGTATACCTGTATTAGTTTTGTATATACCTTACTTGTATACGTGTCAGTATTCTGTATTTTATGCATGTACTATTAATGTCTGTATTAGTATTTTATGTGTTTTATTTGTATACGCGTTAGTTTAGGTATCTTTATAGGTATGTCTGTAATACCAATGTCTGTTATAGTCTTGTATATGTGTTACTGGTATGCGTGTACGTATTTCTGCCTGTATGTTTACCGTCTATAATAATAGTGCATATGCTTTAGTCAGAGGAACTATCATTCACTTCATCCTGAGTATAGTTTTATACGTCTACATGCACATCAGGCTTAATAATCTACCCAGTCAGTCTACAAGCTACGTCCCTGGGGATCAATATTCCCAGCATTCTATTTTTAGCACACGCCGGTCAACATTCCTAGCGTTCTATTTATAGCACACGCCGTTCAGTCTGTGTCTAATCTATCGCCCGTTCCTCTCTCTGCAGAGGGGTGTATCTGTTACTGCGGAGCTCAGTGATCGCCAGCGTTCCTAAAGAGCACAAGACGACTGAACTGACTATGGAGAGACCCATGGCGTAAGTTAAATAGCCCAAACATGTATAGGACAGGTTATAACACGCAGGTAGTAGTAGTAGCAGTAGCTTACATATAATATACATATACATACGTATATACTTACATATATATATATTTGTATACATATATATATATATATATATATATGTATATATGTATATGTAGATGTATATATATATATATATTTCTATATGTATGTATGTATTAATCAGCTGACTGTAGCAGCGTTTTGAGGTACGCTCTCACAATAATTCCTCACTCGTGGTCAAATGAAGCGCACACAAAAGTCATCCAAAATGGACTATACTTGACTATCTACGAAATGTATCTAGCTTCGTACATGTCATATTTATACATATATATATATATGTATGTATATGTATATATATATATATATGTATACATATACATATATGTATACATATATATATATGTATATATATATACATATAAATCTCATTTATATATCCGGACTTGGCACCCCACTGCAGCGCGTACACCACCTTCCCACCCGCTCTGACCCGAAGGGCAGTAGAAGCACCCGCTCTCACAGTCACATCATCGTCTGCCGCCAAGGCTGCGAAGCCCACAAAGCCCGGGGACCGGCCCGAGATCAGTATTGGTATATTTATATATGTATATGCAAGTATATATATGTATACATAATATATATATATATACATATATATATATATATACATATATATATATATCTATATGCGTGTGTATGGCCTTGAGTTAGGCTGTGATTATATGTGCTTGTATCAGACGCAAGATGTGTATCAATGGTACATTTGGCATATCTTGGTTTGGTGTAGTATTGAGCTGTCCTAAGCATCTAAAAGGTCATATCGTCAGTTACTTCGAATCCAATAATCTGTTCACGCACTCTTAGCTGTATCGTTTCCCCACTAAGGCTGCAACACCCTCGATGTCCGGGGAATAGGCCAAAGCCAATTGGGGTAGACGTGGAAAAATTGTGCCTATTCTCGACCAAAAACGTGTATTCCTAATCCTATTTCTGATGCGAAAACTTGGTTTATAAATGCCTACGCTCAACTACAAATGTGCCTGTATATCCTGTCGATTGGGCATGCGTCTGTATACGCCCTGTCTCAACAACAAGTACATACACATCCATACCCGTATTCTATACATACACATCCATACCCGTATTCTCTACATACACATCCATACCCGTATTCTCTACATACACATCCATACCCATATTCTCTACATACACATCCATACCCGTATTCTATACATACACATCCATACCCGTATTCTCTATATACACATTTATACCCGTATTCTATACATATACATTCATACCCGTATTCTATACATACACATCCATACGCGTATTCTCTACATACACATCCATACCCGTATTCTATACATACACATCCATACGCGTATTCTCTATATACACATTTATACCCGTATTCTATACATATACATTCATACCCGTATTCTATACATACACATCCATACGCGTATTCTCTACATACACATTTATACCCGTATTCTCTATATATACATTCATACCCGTATTCTATACATACACATCCATACCCGTATTCTCTACATACACATCCATACCCGTATTCTCTATATACACATCCATACCCGTATTCTATACATACACATCCATACCCGTATTCTCTACATACACATCCGTACCCGTATTCTCGTTCAGAGATATGTGTGCGTCTGTGCAGTTCCTACCTCGAACGGAGCGAGCAGGGACACCCACCACAAGACGTGCACAGCACACCACAGCTAAGCTCTACTTGCCGTTACTATTGTGCCTAAGCATTCAACCAGTGAACTCGGAGGCACAGGTCCTCCCTGTCATAGTCTCATGTGTGTACTCAACTGTAGGTGTGCGCTAGCTAGACGGGTGTTGTTAAATGAACTGACTGTCTTTATCATCCAAGGATTGCTAAGACAAGTGAGTGTACTGGCGTTGGCGTAGAAATGTTAAACCCTGGAAAAAAACCCTAACATCCTATATACGGCCCTTTTAACTCACCCTTCTCCTCGGATGTCCTCTCTCCCGTGGCAGATCACAAGCGATACATCATGCAGTTCTCCGACCGCTACAAGGTGTGTTTAACTCACTACAGCCACACTCATGTGTGTGTATGTGTAAGGATGTATGGTGAAAGTGTACCTGGGCTGTGTCTTCTTCACTACAGCCACACTCATGTGTGTATGTGTAAGGATGTATGGTGAAAGTGTACCTGGGCTGTGTCTTCTTCACTACAGCCACACTCATGTGTGTATGTGTAATGATGTATGGTGAAAGTGTACCTGGGCTGTGTGTTCCTCACTACAGTCACACTCATGTGTGTGAGTGCAAAGATGTATTGTGAAAGTGTGCCTATTTTCAAGGGCTGTAATGTTGTATATGTACAGTTATCTGGAAAGTTTGTCTGATTGATGAGATGGGCTCTGATTGTCTGATTGTTCTTCTCGGGGAAGTGCTGAGGAAGTGTCCCGCTTTTACTTCCCAAAACATAGGCATATCTCTATATCTGTATCTATAACTAAATATATATATATGTGTGTGTGTATGTGTGTATGTGTGCAAATATATATACATATATACACTCTCAGGCGACGCAAAGTGTACAACCTTGAGCAGATTTCATTAGATAATTTTAATACAAGACCATCTTTAAAGCGTCTAAACCCATTCCATTCGTATTGCAATGTCTTGTGATATGGATCGTGCATGTACATCTCTTTGTAGCGCGGTTTCACTGTAGTAGTCCATGTCAGCTCTATGGTCTCTGGTATTAGTCTCATTGCATGACAGGTGTTCATTACAGGTGTTACTGCTGCAGTCTGTGTGTATCTCTGGTATTGGGCTTCCTGTATATCTCTTTGTGTATAGAACCACCGACTGAAGCTGTTTGTTGAGCCATTCACAGTCTCTTAAAATAAGTTTCTATGCTTAGACATGCATTGCTTAATCATGGCGACAAGCATATGACTACTGACAGGATCAATCAGGTAGCTATCGTACATGAGAGGGTTATATATCTATATATATATATATGTATCTATATATATATACTACTCTCTCATTTAAGATAGCTATATACTCTTCCATGGATTATATGTTCATTAGAAATAGAGTTTTATTATATTGTATCTCCATGCGTTTTACACAGTCTGATAGCTTAATAAATAAGATCTGCCATGTACATCTATTCACACCTCTTGACATCCATTCAAACTCCCCAGATTAAACCTATTACTATGGAAGTAGTTGTTTTGACCGAAGCCAAAGGCGGGAACGAGTTTCAAGGCAAGATCGAACTTCCCGGATGGTTCAACATCACTGGTCCTGTTTGTGCTAGTAAGAAGGCCGCGGCAACAGCTGTCAACGTAATCGCTGCTGAAACGGTATGTCTCTATTGTTGTATCTAGCACTAGCTATTCATCCGTGGCTGTGGTTGTTAGGTGCTATATTCTGTGTGTTATATCCACTGGGCTGCCTGTGAGTATAGTGGGTGTGGTAGTATGTATGTATTGTTGTATCATTCATCCCGTGGCTGTGGCTGTTATATGCTATATCCTGTGTGTTATATCCGCTGGGCTGTCTGTTAGTATAGTGGGTGTGGTAGAATGTATCTATTGTTGTATCCGGCACTAAGTCTTATACAATTGGTGACATGCTTTGTACCTAAACTTATGTCATGTACATAGCAACGGCTATGTCATATTTGTACCTGTACCTATGTCATATACATAGCAATGGCTATAGTGTCTGTCTACACTGTGAGAGTTTCGTGCGGGGGTGCGTCAATGCCTACTATCGATGCATACCGGTCACTTTCTACCATTGCGATGGCTTTAGCTTTCAAAAGACCGGAGCAGTTGTACTCATTGCCAAGCCTATTATGCCCGACAGTTGTACTTGTTCTTATTTCTATTCGTTTTTTATTTTATTTTATTTGTTCTTATTCTCACTGTAAATCTTCGTATTCTCGTGCCGACCCTGTACAGCTTCCAATGAGAGCACGGGTGGTAACTCTACGGACCATCCCTACTATATATGCATATGCATGTACATATACATACATGTACACGTACACGTGCATATGCATGTACATATACCTGTGCATATACTTGTACGTATTCATATTAGTTTACTTGTACATGTACATGTACATGTACATGTACATACACATCCACGTATACGTATACGTACACATTCATATTTTCTGATTTCTGCTTATATATATATATATATATATATACATACACATATATATATGCCTTTGTATATCTCCAGCTGAGGGCTCGGGTGGTAGCCGAGGACCATCCCTACAAGGAGGTGGAAACTCCCATCGTTATCAACGGCCTACAAATACCCAGTAGCGCAGGCACTAAACGCACAAGAGAGGTGACAGACGACACGGGAGAGCCAGCCACGAAGAAGAAGGTGGGCTCATACCTCATAATATAATATGATGCAAATGTTCATGTTTTGTCGGGCTTGCTATTGGTTCATGTTTTGCATGGCTTCTTTATTAGCATGCTGCGCCCTCCGTGGAATTGAGGTTGTTGTATCCAGCTGTTGTTACTTGGCTTATATCCCCACAATAGTTTTGTATATATTTATATTTATATTTGTATATGTATATGGTGTATAGTCATAGCCGCGGGGGGGATTGAACTCTCGAGATATATTGGCCTCGTGTTCTGTGATGTTCAATGTATTGTGGGTGTGTTACGATGGTATGCATGCAGGCAACATGCTGATTGTGATGTGTGGGGGAAATGTGGTATCTGTGCCAGAGGGCGTCGATGCATCTGTCTGTGTATTCCGATTGTGATGTGTCCTTGATTGGTTGTTTATGTATTAGCCGCTGCTGTGTCGTATACAGTCATTGCTTTGTCGTATTTATCCGCTGCTGTGTCGTATTTATACACTGCTGTGTCGTAGACAGACACTGATTTGTGGTATACAGTCACTGCTTTGTCGTAGACAGACGCTTCTTTGTTGTATACAGTCTCTGCTTTGTCGTATTTAGCCACTGATTTGTCGTATATAGTCAATTGTTTTGCCGGCGCACACGATTAATCGCATCCTTACGCAATATGAACTCCCCTTCTCTGAATGTAATACACAGCGCATAATACTCCCATCTGAACGGGCTGCACCGTATACGGACGAGAATGGAGGTAAGCAATTTGTGTGTGTTTCTGCTGTTGTAGGTATTTATATATATATATATATATATAAAGGTGTGTGTGTGTGGGTATGTGTATGTGTGTATCTATGTATCTATATGGGCGTGACTGTCACTTGCGGGGTGATACATTCGCGTGTTATCTAGTAAGTATGCCTATCTCTAACTCATCTCAGGAACTTGCTTAGTGTGTGTGACTGTAAACCTCTTTCGCCATATTTACCGCACTTTCAATATTTTACAGCTGTTTATTTGGCGGTATTTCGGCTATTCCAGAGCTAAGAACACCTTGAGCATCTGTGCATATCCGCGAAGGCTTCAATGCCTTTACACAGTTTCTATCCTGAATTCCTTATAATGGGACAGATTGTAGTATCTGTGTAGGTATCCTTGGTAGTTGTATGCCTATTTACGTTGCATACGGAACTGGTACACCCGTTTAAGTGTACTCACGTGTTTGCCTATCCTCAAACAGTGTTGACAATGCCGCCTGTGGTTACAGTTAAGGCCGACAACTACAAAAGCGCTCTCGTGACTATAAGCGAAGGCATGAAATGGTATGAACTACAGTGGGATGTTTGTAGTCAGTTTGCTTTGCCGCCATATGCATATGTCGGCACAATGTAATTTGGTATCATGTGTCTATGCATAGATCTATATATATATATATATATGTGTGTTTGTGTTTGTGTGTGTGTGTGTGTGTGTTTATGTATATATATATATATATATATAGTATGAACACTATACCTACCTACTCTCTACAGGTAAAGTGAAAAAAGTAAGCCAGGTTCATACTGTCGATATCTCATTAAATAGAAAACGACTGCCTTGTCTCACTGACAGTATTATACGATCACCTTATACCTACCCACTCCCCGCAAGTAAACAAGGTACATAAACCAGGCTTTTATTGTCGATAAATTATTACATAGCAATCGACCATCTGATCTCTCCCACATTATCATTCGATCATTATACCTACTCACTCCCCGCAAGTAAATAGGGTACATAAACCAGGGTTTTTATTGTCGATAACCCATTTAATAACAATGGACCATCTGATCTCGCCCATACTATCATATGATCACTATACACATCCACTTCCCACAGGTGAATAAACAAAGTAAATACACCAGGGTTTTTTTGGGGGGGTAACCCATATTCTCACTGACCATATTCTACGTTCGGTTTACCTACCCATTCTTCACAGGGGCAAAGTAACGTATGCAGAGGAGGTGTCTGGATACCAGCACTCACCACTGTACCGGTATGTTGTACCCCTGCAGACCCTTTAGTGTGTCTGTGTTGGGCATAGTAGACTCTTTAGTGTGCCTGTGTTGTGCATAGTAGACCTGCCTATTACGTCATGTTGCTACCGTACTAGTATCATTTTCTAGACGCTTCTGTCGTAAGTCAGTGTTTCTACTGGTGTGTTGATAGTATCTCATAGGGTTATACTCATACCATACCATCCGCAATAGTCCCCACATGTACCTACCTTCAAGGAGTGTCTCAATGCTTGTTAGTCGCAGCGTAGTATTGTTAGATGGTCCGTTGGTCCAGTGTTTCTACTGGTGTGTTGATAGTATCTCATAATGTTATACTCATACCATACCATCTGCAATAGTCCCCACATGCACCTGCCTTCATGGAGTGTCTCAATGCTTGTTAGTCGCAGAGTTAGTGTTAGTTCGTCCGTTGATCCAGTGTTTCTAATGGTGTACTATGCTTTGCCCATAGACTGTCCAGTTTTTTTCGTCCCTTCCCTTCTACTACTACATGATATGATACCAACAATAAAAACCAAGTTTATTCACCTTGGTTTATTTTCTTCCTTCACGAACGTGCGCTCCCGATGTTTCAGTTCGATTGTCACCATCAAGGGATTGCAAACCAAATCGTATACAGGACCTTGGGTGCACCAGAAAAAGTTATCGCAAAGGGTAATTCACGCATGCCTAGATGTGTACGCTTGTATATAGGATACTTGGATATGTATGCATGTATGTGTGATGTACGAATATATATAGTGTATACCTTTATATCAATATAATATATATGTAGAATGTATATGTATAGGTATTGGGTATGTATCTATCTCTATTTGTATATGCATATGTTTAGGTATAGGTATAGGTATGTGTATATATCTATTTATATTTGTATATGTAGAATGTATATGTATAGGTATGTGGATGTTTCTATTTCTGTTCGTATTCGTATTTGTATTTGATTTGCCTTTGTATTTGTCTTTGACATTGTCTCTGTCTTTGCACCGATATGCGTATTTTCAGATTATTTATGCCCGTGACTGACACCAAATAAGCTACCAATCCAAATGTGGTCTCGAATACATAGTCCCAAAACTGAAAAAAAAAATCCTGATCTCAAAATATATTGCCAATTCCCAATTTTTCACAGGCAGCATCCAAGCGAGCGTTCGTAGAGATGGCAGTCAAACGCTTTAAGCCCCACACCAAAATCCCAGACAACCAGACAATTAAGGTCCGAGTGGTGACGGATAAAGGGGTAAGGAAGCGCAATATACACAGGTTGCGAGCCCTCTACAAGGCCCTTTTTTTTAACGTGTTTGGCCCGGGGTGGGTGTTGTCACTAAATCCACAAGTAAGACACTAGCTTCACAGTGTTTGAGCGTAGTGTGTCCTGTTTGGACTCGGTTTGGGTTTTAGGGGTTTGGGAGTGGCCAAGTTTCCAGCTTATTCGTAGGACTGAAGTAGTCAGTGATCGTGTATAGGGGATCGTTCACCCCCTTGCTTTGCCCTGCCTGGACTATCGCATACCAGCTCATACCATATCTTTCTAGTAGTAGCAGTGTGGAACGTGAATTAGTCTGTAAAATGTTCACCTTCAGTGTACAACAGATCTATTTTAGATTATCCTGAACTATTGCATACTAGCTCATACCACATCTTCTTAGTAGTAGCAGCGGGCAACTTGAAATATTCTGAACAACGTTAACCTTAAGATATGGACTATTTTAGTAGTCCTTTCCTTAAGTTTGGTGCCTGCCATCCCATATTATCACATCCTATGTACGACGAGAATGTGGACAATAAGCGAATCTGTTGTTGCGAGTAAGGAATTACTCTTACGCTTGCTTTACCCTGAACTATTGGATTTCGTCTCATAGTGTAAATTCCTAGTAGTCACCGTACGAAATGGACAATATTCTGGACAATGTCAACCTGTAGAGTATAAAAGGCCTATTTTAGTCGTCGGTTTCTAAATATCGGTACCTTCCATCCCGAATTATCACGGCGATTTTAGGTCGAGGAAGTGATCAATAAGAAATTCAGAAGCGAGCTGGATGTCAGTGGTATGCAATTGTATTTTTTCGGCTCCGAATTGGCTTTTTTTTTCCAATTGTCCCGCTTGCGGTGTAGTTAGTTTCGAATTGGCTTTTATATATCATTTCGCCGTGTATATATTCGTATTCTTTTATATGCTCAGTCCGCACGTGCTTTCCCCCGCCAATCCCCGGTGTTCTATTCCTAAAACTCCTAAACCCTAAACACCTAAACCCGGTGTTCTATTTATAAACCACTTCCCAACAGACAAGAAGAATATGAAGGCGCTGGGGGTGACTAAGAATACCAGGCCTGGGATAATCGAATCTGGCAAGAACACTGCCAAAACAAGGGGTCTGCCCAGAACAGGCGGTAACTCAAGCAGAGTGAAGAATGGTGCTGGACGGTCTGGTCAATACACCAACGGCGTGTACCAGTCGTTGCGATCGGGGCAAAAGGGATCCCCTTTGGTGGATGGTATGTAAAATCAGGACAGATTTTTGGGGTTTGGGTTTTGACAGCACGTCTCGATTAGACGATAGGAGGCTATGGATGATATTGTCAACGGAGTATGGATATGGTATCGTGGTTGAAGAAGGCACAGAGTACGCTAGCGTCCGTTCGAGAGTTGTTTGTGTATGGGTATATGTTCTGTGCACATCATAGTACTATGTATGGTAATTTAGAGTTTCAGGGTTTTACTAGATTCCTAAACTCTGAAACCCCAAACCCCTGCTTTGTATGGTAGTTGCTTTGTCTGTCCCATTTCCCATGCCAAACCCAAGGGAAGTCGGCAAATTAAATCCGTAACTTCGGGATAAGGATTGGCTCTTAGGGTTGGGCTAGTCGTGCCCTTGTTTGTCGAGTCTACTGTGTATTCTAGCATTGCTCAACGGACGAATGCATGTTTCATACTCCACTCTATCTCTAGGTAGCGGGCAAGCGCAAGCACAAGCACAGTGGTACGATTACAACAACCAGGTAAGCTGCGTGGTAATTTGAGTTGAGCCTGTAGTGGGAGACCATTTTAAGGTGTAGGATTTACCATTATGGAATACTCATATTATGTATATGTATTATGTATAGTGGCATACAGAATCATGGCAATCATGTATGCTGTATATTACATATGTATACATACATATATATGTATGTATGTCTGTATGTATATGTATATGTATATATATATATATTTATATATATATATGAATACACACACACACACACACACATATATATATATATATATATATATATATATATGTATATACACATATATATGTATATGTATATAGTATATGTATATATATATATATATATATATATATTTGTGTGCGTGTATGTATGTATGTATATATATATATATATATATATATATGTGTGTGTGTGTGTGCGAATATATATTCTCGTACATAGAAAGTTGAATCGCGTAGAATGTAATTCAGATCAGGACTAGGAAATGCCCTTCTGTTTGCCGAATGTTAATCATGCGATATAGTAAGTGTTCCTATATCCCAAATATCAGCTGGGTTACAGTATACGGAGACGCATAGGTACTCTGGGGGTTCTACGGTATGTCTCATTCTTCCTGTCACGTTTCATACATATCAGTACGCACAGGTATAGATAATAGACAGCGATACATAAATATGGATGTAGTACTGTATAGATGTATGTACCTATGTACATTGCTACACCGAGTCAAACAGGTGGTTCTCATACCTTTGTCTCTATCTCAGTTGGACCTTAAGCGTGAGACGATTCACCGAGTTGCGTGTGTATCGGATGCTCGAGAGATATAGGGGTAGTATGTGTTAGGCGGGGGCACTTGGTAGGTATGTACGTATAAAAATAAAACATATACGTTAACGTTTTTGAATGCTCAGGCAGCTTGGGGACAACCACAGATGGATATGAACAGCGTACCGCCTGGGGGTGCACCAATCAACGGCGTATCGCCGCAGCAAATGAATGGCATTTCGTTCACACAAGGCCATTCCGCTTACGTATGTGGTGATTATGTATGTTTGTATATTTATATATATATATATTTGTTTACCCACGTGCAAGGGCTCGTGTATTCCACTCGTATCCGAGTGCTGCGTCTACCGACAGCACTCTCTAAGCCTGCTTATATCTCTGATATCCTATACTAAATGAATTCATGCTCAGCTGTTTTCTTTGTCCCCGAGTGTACAGGTCATTAGTGGGTTCAGTATCACGTCTTTAGATGTAGATAACTCTCATACTAATCCACATATGCTGCGACAGTCAAAGGGAACTGGTACTGAAGCCGGGGCTAGGCACACATAGGCAATGAAGTCAACTAATCCTGCACCACTCCCAATGTCTTTTTTCAGATGAATGAGGGCTCTTATGCACCTAGATCGAACTCAGCCACTTATTACAACAACGATCCGTACCAGGTGCGTGTGGTTGTGTGTGTAGTGGTATTGTGTCTACTGACTATTCGATTTATAAGACTATTTTATTTATAGCAGGATTTGGCTTAGCTATAGAACTGTTAGTATGTGTGCACTTAGATCTGTATCGTTGCAGTGTATCAAGTGACTAGTAATAGCAGAATTTGGCTTAGCTATAGAACTGTTAGTATGTGTGCACTTAAATCTGTATCGTTGCATTGTATCAAGTGACTAGTAATAGCAGAATTTGGCTTAGTTATAGAACAGTTAGTATGTGTGCACTTGGATATCGGGGGAGAATGTCGGTGCGTTTGAATGTGTTATATTGTATTACCATACGCTGAGCCAGTGGTTGTGTGCACTTGAAATTCACTGCATGGTCCGTGAATTAGTACTACCAGTACGTACGGCTCAGCATGGTTACTCACTGTAACAGATTCGTATCTAAAAGCCAAACCTAATGACCAAACCTTACCGATATATCTTGGAAAGATTTGAATCAGGTCGGTGATATATTGGGTCATTGTGTTAACGGTTTGTAGCGACTTCTCACAGAGTGTGCTCAAGTGCGTGTTTTAGGGTTTAGGGTTTACCCTCTTCTCAACCGGCTTGTATATCAACCGATCTTCCCAGCAGGCGTACCAACAACCGCAACAGCAATCGCAGACCCCAAGCTACACCCAGCAAACAAGCTACTCGCAAAGCTATGGTGCACCGGGGATGTCGTCCACTAGCAGCACCAGTCAGGCAAACAAGGTAAGCTACCTTCACGGGTGGGGGTGTATGCACATCACATGCATGTGTAGTATACACACACGCATGCGTGTATCTAGACCAGGCTTATGTACACATGCAAATGCCCATACACTAAAAGAACATGAACTACCGTGTATAGCAAGGGCGAAGTTCGGCACTAGAGCAAGCATCACTTTTTTTGGGGGGGGGGAATGCTTGTTCCCTCTCGTCCAATTACTGACATTGGCACCAGCTGTCTTCTATCTAAAGTCGGTCGGAAACCCAAAACAACCCGAGTGTATATTGCGTGGTTGGTTGCTAACTACTATCATTTGCGTTTGTATATATATGGTATCGGCACTCAGGCGTCAACCGATACCGCTCAGTCGAACTATTCCCAGGCCCAGGGCTACTCGGATTACCCAGCTCCAGGCACAACGTCCCGTCGCTATTAAATAGAGGGCGTATCTGCTTATGTATTAAGGACCGGTCGAGTGTGCCTACCTATACCTACCTGCCTATGCCTGCCTACGATAGGCACACTGTGATATTAATTGATTAGACCGTGAGAGGGATGGATTGTCGCACTCCCGAGTGACCATGGCTCAATAAACTGTGACAGCTATTTGTCAAGAGCAGGAATGCAATAACCCACTCTGTGCGTTTTACTATATGTGAGATACTATAAGACCCAGGCGGCGTTCTGAGTGGACATTACAATACTGGGCCGCGTGACTCCTTTCTGGACCAGCTGTACTACCAAACACGTACAAATATACCACCCACTTAGACAGGGGTATTGTCCGAGCAATGGCCTTTCACTCTGACGCTTAAGGTTGTGGTCGTGCATAGTTTGAATCGTATATGATACATATCTGTATGTCGCTACAGATTTACCAAAATAAAAGATGAGTGACCAAATTTGTGTGGACAGGAAAAGATTTCGAACCATCTTAAAACTGGCTGGGGATTGATAAGTAATATGATTTCGGATTTTCTCTCTCGTACGAGGTCCTGTGGACCTTATTTGCGTTTAAGAAACGCTCTATAGCATTGTTCAATTTAGAGGGCTGTGTCTGTAGGTAAATACATACGTACAAAGTCAACCTCTACATTGGGCTCAGGTCAAACCTCGAATACGAATGGTAGTTCGTATTCAATTTAGAATACTATGACCTCTACATAGAGCTCAGGCCAAACCTTGTTACGTATGGTAGTTCAGCGAACGTAAACGTAGAAAAGTTGCTATTTAAACGTTGTATCGCACAATAGGGGAAGAAAGGAATAACCTATGTACTATGACCAACAATCGGACTGAATGAGGAAATAATCGTTAAAAATGTTGCACTCGCGTCAAACGTACAGGACCAACCCAAAGTCACCATGTATTGTAAACGTAAACAATTTTAGCGTAAAACGCGATGAGGTTAGGGTCATGCTCAAGGCCTGAGGGCTAAATAATGGATGGCCGGAGACCCTGAGCCCTGAGGCCTAACCTCATTACGTTTCCCGTTTAAACGTAATATTTTATTATAAAAAATAGCGTTTACGTTCAAAGTTATCCTAAATATAGTCCTATGGGTTTACAAATAGGTATATTTTTGAGGCGGCCTAACTATCACGAATTGTCCTATTTTTCACTTTGTGTCAGTTGTGAATAGTTTCAAATCGCCTTTTCATTTAAAAAGGTCAATTTCTCAGGTGCAAATTTGTATAATTTTATGGTCGATTTGCCCCCGATATACTTTAAAACGCTTAAAAAACAAAACTTTTGCGTTCACGCTTAAAGTATTTCGCATACCGGCAAAGCGTATTGAGCTTAGCCTGACGGTGTATTTTTTAAGGGAGGCTATAAATTGTATGTATTTATGTTGACTCTGAGGGGGATGGCTCAGCTGGGTCAAGCACTGAGCACTGAGCACTGTGAGCAGTCAAGCACTCAAGCCTCACGTAAAGGTTCAAACATACGTAGGAATCAAGTCATCCTCAGGGCTGTCCTTATGTTTGCCAAACATACCACTGGCTGTAAACAACACCAATAAAATTGCTTATAAACGACTTTTTAGTTCCCCTCGGACCCCTAATTCAAAATTTAAACGTATCTATAAATAGACACCACTTATAAACTGCTGAGTCATGGATTTTACGAAGTCGCCCACGTCCACGCTATTTAACGTCAATGAGCCTGAGTACGTATGTATGTCGTAGGGGATTATGGGACTATGGGCCCATATGAAAGGTGAACGTAAACGTGTATTTATTTATTGGGAACGTTTAAATGGCCTGAAGATTGAAGAAGTCTCTTCATATTTTTAACCACAAATTTTCTAAATAAATACATACAATTACGTACCTTGGCACGGTATGCGCCTACTTCACACTTCAGACTTGCTTTGTATTGAACATAACAACCCAACAGACTCGCTTCCGGAGAGCTTGGTATGGATTGTGCTGTGTTGATTTACCTCCTTATATTATCGTACTGCTGCCGTGACAATTGTGTAACAGTTTGATCGAGTCTACTGTCAAGCACATGTACCTGAGATGCATACCAGACGCCTTTAATACTGAATGGTTATACGAATGCGCACCTGGCAGTGACCCACTGTTTATACTAATTTAAAAGCGAGATGTTGCAATGCCGATTTTTTTTATCGTATGTCTTTCAACCTAAATACTTGCACACTTCGCAAACTCTGCACAATTGTCAAGTCGTGCTGGTCAGTGTTGTTTGCACATACATAAATACTTGACCTACATACACAAATACATCAATACTCAAACCCTTGGGTCTATATAGCATGCACATACTTGATACTTAATACTTGGGTCTATATAGCGTGCACATACTTGATAATTTATACTTGGGTCTATATAGCGTGCACATACTTGATACTTAATACTTGGGTCTATATAGCGTGCACATACTTGATACTTAATACTTGGGTCTATATAGCGTGCACATACTGGATACTTAATACTTGGGTCTATATAGCGTGCACATACTTGATACTTAAATCCTTGGGTCTATATAGCGTGCACATACTTGATACTTAATACTTGGTTCTATATAGCGTGCACATACTTGATA